AATTGAGTTGTGTCAGACACAAAGGATGTGAATAAAATCGCGGTATCGATGCCATTCGTGTTCAACAAACTGTATTAACATCATCGACGTTCAATTAATAGAATTGGAGCTGTATCGTGAGTTTTTTTTTACGGTTTTGAAAACCAATAAAATTTTGTATTATACGCAAATAATTGACAAGACTTTTGATCTCAAATTGGTGTGCTTTTTTTCTGAGGGATGCGATGATCTGAAGGTGGAACTGCTCCATTCCCGCCGCGAGATAACGCGATCGTTCTCAGGCCAAATCGGCAGCTACGAAAGTAATTAGAATTCCTAATGGTCGCAAGTGCGCTTAAGTAAGTGCCAGTAACAACGCATTATTAGGGTATAGATACTCGAGCAGCTTTTCTCCGGGGGCCGAAACTTGGGGCAGGTACTCTAGCTAAGAATCTCGCCATTACCATCGCCTTTTGTGTAAATGGCTCTTGTTCGGTAGTTCAACCGTAGTTCCCTTATGGGCGTGGCAGAATCGCTTGCCACGGGGAGTATCGTAATGCAGGTGGGCATCCTAGTTCATGCCCGAGAACGCATTCTGATCGCGTTAGTATCCAGCGGCTAAGGCGGAAGTGCCGACCTATCTCATCGCCGATAAGACATTAATCCGTAAAATATGTATGTGTTTAGGATAATGGTCGGGATATCGATTGCAAATATCGATGCGCGTCTCGCGTACAACGTATCGCTACGTATGTATTGAGTTTTCAACGGCTCGATGTAATATCGTGATATAATATCACGTAGATCGTAAAATCCGCAGAAATCAGTAACATACACGACATTATATTCTTTTCATACGGATTTTTTCACAATAAAAGCAGAGATAAAAAGAAAGAAATATTATTTTCGGCTTGTGCTAAAAATTTCGTGTGATATAATATTTTTCTAAATATTTATTATGATACAAAAATAATATTGCACAGAGAAATGTAACGATCTGCGTCGCGAGAGAATGCTTTACTACAGTGTAATCTCTAAAACAATTATTTACTTCACCGCGTTTGGGCCGATACAACCCGTTATCGTCGTTTTACCCTTCCATAAATGACGCGTCTATCGGTCGCGATCGCGCGACGCTCCGTCGGTGACGTACTGGCAAGTGATGCGCAATCAGTATGACACCGGCGTCGGATATGCACGCGTGTCGAGTACACTGTATACCTAGACGCGTGACGTTGCGAACACAGTAATCGGTGTCCACCATCGATCGTCGCATTCGAGCGCAATCAATTTCTATCGGCAATGGCGCGAATGGAAGATCATTATCGGGCGTAGGAATGTCCCGTGTCCGGTCATGAAGGGATAGACGAGCCGGGCGGGCCCAATGGCTGACTCTCACTCCTGACGATATGGCGCGTAACGTATGGGGCCCGTAGTTCGTGTTACTGCGATCGTTCACTACCCGACTCTCGCGTGCTCTACCTCTCTCTCTCTCTCTCTCTCTCCTTCTCTGTCTCTCGCTCGCATCGCTGGCAGTAACACATACGACGGTTGCACACACGCGTACCGAGCTTGTCCCGCCGCTAACTTATCCCCGATACTGTCAGCTGCGTATGTCTGTCAGGTTAATGTTCCTGATCAGTATGAACGTATGGACACCGATCTCGAATGGCGCCACGAAAAATAGCCCGTGTTCCTGAAACGCAGTCGTCTCGTTGCAACAACGTGATTTATCGAGCGGTCGTGTTTTACGCCGGCCAGGAAGATTAGTATTGAAGGAAATAGAGCGATTACGGTGAACTATATTGTCCGTCTGTAAAACGATAGACGCGATCTATGTAAAACGATGTTACGATAATATCTGCAACACGTTCAACCTAACCTAAGTAAGAGCGAAGTTACGGAATTAAGATATGAAAACGTATATCGACTTTGAAGCTTGTCGCACTTTGATTTCAGGGTCGCGAAAGTGAACGGGCGTCTTTTTCTAACCGATACCAAAGAATAACAAGCCATCTGGTAACGATACAGAAACGATAGTAGTATCAAATGACCGGCAATTTTCTGTTCGGAGGGAGGAAGCTTCGGTCCGAACGTATTTCGCAGAGGGAGTGTCGATTTACTATCTCCCCCGCTTGTTAGTCTTTTTTTTTTTGCGGCAATAGCGGCGGAGTGGTGATTCAATTGCGGACGGAGTCGCGGTCGGGCCACGTACGCGGTCCGCCCTCGATTTATTTCTACTGGCCTTCTATCTAAGGGGTGAGACAACGGTAATCAGTCAAAGAAGAGGGGTCGATAGCCCGGTTAAAAGCAAGCCAACCGATTCAATTTTCATCCTTCCTAAATTTAGGAGTATTTCGCCGATGTATATACTTTACGGGTAGAAAGCAAAGAGGTGCCGAGAATGGATCTAAGATCTTACATCTAAAGCTCAAGAACGCTCTCAACGTCGAATATAAGATATACTTTATGCATAATGCTTTATGAATACATTTACGCTGATAAACCGCAGTTTACTTAATTGAGCAAATGAGAGAAATGGAGCTGAAGAAGAATATCCTTTGGCAATCATGCTGCAGACATAAAGTAATTACGTAGCATAAGTTAACGTCAAATATAGAGTGTAAGAATTATTGTCGAATTAACTTTGTCTTTAAAAATTTTTATGTATTATGTATTTGTATACAATTTAACGACTCCTGAGACATTTAATTTTATAAAAACAGAAGACTTAAACAAGAGTTGTAAAAATTCATTGCACTCGCAAGATTTTACTTCAATTGAGAATTTGAAAAACCGGTAACTAAAAAATAACGATGAGAATGATTGATTGTCGCTATTTTTTCTTTTTACGTCCAAATTCTCTGGCGATAATCAACGAAGGATGAAAATCAACGGCCGAATTCCTGGCGAGGCTAGAGCTCAACTGGACAATGCGGACTAAATAACTGATCGTTTCTCTTAATAGGCGCTCACTGTTCACAAAGAGTCGTTGAATTCTCGAGATATCTTCGGCGCGTCGTAAAACGAACGATATGCGTCCCTCTTCGGCAGAATGCTTGCAAGGAGTATTCGCTTAGTCGTCCATGAACATACATATCTCCGGGGAGAAATTGAAGCGCTCTCGTTTCTAGAAAGCGGATCAGAGGCGGTGTCCACTGACGAATGCGCGGGATCCCGCTTAGTAGGTGGTTGTCGTACAATCGAGCAGCGCGCGTCAACGGGAATTCCAGAAACCGTAAGATCTTCATTTCAGCATGATGTCGTTAGCATCGCAAAAACGTTCTTTCTTGCAAGTAACGACGAGCACTTCTTGTGTTCTCGTTAACGTCGTATCTTAACGACGCTCATGCTCTCTCCGACTTCCAAGCGGTAAGAAGAATCCGCGGTCTCTGCGACCCGCAACTTTGTCAAGTGGCGGCAATATTGTACGAGTAATATGCCGAAAAAAAATATGCTCCAGAGAATCGTCATTTATTTAATTGTAAAGCTAAAAATGCAAAGCGTAATCTTGTTTCACAAGCAAACCAAACATCTATGTTGAAGAGAATCCATATCTTAAAAATACGTCATATAACGTATAGCCTAGATTTTGATGAAATTAAGAAAGTTAGAAAGCAACTTGAGCGAACGCGGAGAGGAAAGAATCATCTTTGTTGCGATAAACGCGCAAAGCTCCGGAATGGATGTCGTACGAGCGATTTCGTTTAACGATATCTCGCTTCGTAAGCTTACAAACTGCGCGCAATACAAGCCATCGAATGGTACACGTACCGCGAAACGTTGTTACGTAAAATAACGCGCCACGACAACGAGAAGAAACTCTTGGCGACGTAAACCGTTTAATCCGCTCATATTTCATTCTATCGAGAAGTTAGACAGTCGCCGACGCCGGGGGATGAGAATAAATGTCGGCGCTGCAAGCGAACGACGAAAGGAAGTCGAACCTCGCTTGTGAAACGATAATTAGCCGTTGCCGCACGCGAACGATCGTCATCCGCGATACTTGCCCTCGCTTTTCGTATTCCCGGGAAGGAAATGAAGATCGTCTTGTGCCGCAGCAGACCACCCAAGTTGGTCAGCGAGCGGCGGAGGAAGTCTTGAAACTGGTTTGTCGGATAATTGAGATCCACCAATGGGAATCCGAGAAACTTGGAGAATCTCGGCCGACGGACTGTAACGATTCTGTGGCGCGGATGCGGAGATTCACCGTAATGGTATTTCCAGCAACAAGATTTAATGGCAACACAGGCGGGAGGGCGAGGAGGAAAGGGGGAGGGATAAAACGCGTTTCCGCACGACGTTACGTTCTCGGCACGGTCATTGATTCTTACGAGCGCGGGACAAAAATTCCGGACACGCCGCCGTATCGCGCGGTATTGCCTTCGCGGAAATTAAGCGGGCTCTTAACGCCTCGAGATACGGCCGCGGCGGACGGAGATATCGATGTATGGAGTATTTCTAACCGGTTCGAGAATGGGACGCTTCAAAAGGATCAATATATCTCTCTCTCGTGGTTCAATGATTCCTCCCCGAATCGCATACAAAGCGATTCTTTCGGATGGAAACCCCCGGTCATCCGGAATTGATTCCATCGGTACTTTCTGCGGGAGAACCTGTTTTCCGCGAAATAATGTGGATATAATGCCGGGCGACCGTTCTTCGCCGCGTGGTTATTGCATTTCATTTCGGTTCTGCCAAACCGAACTTTTTACTCTCCTTTGAAACGCTCGTCCGGAATAATGCTAGATAAAGAATGCGGATATGATAAAAAAACAATCTCGGACTTCCAGGAACAGCAAAAATTATAAAGGGATTCAATTGTTGATTTCTGTTCGTATTTTCAAGAGGAAACATTAACGCATCTCCACTGCAAACATTTGTGTTTGATATAAAATCAAGAAACGTTTGCAGCGTTTTATGAGTAAAATAAAGTTTTTACAAAAGTATATATTTTTTCTCAAAAAAATAACAAAGCCTGCAAATTAAAAATATACACGCTCCCTCTCTTTTTATTGCAGAACCCGTGACGGAAATAGCCGGCGGGCCAGATCTGTTCATCAACAAAGACAGCACGATAAACTTAACGTGTTACGTGAGACACACGCCTGAGCCGCCATCGACAATTATTTGGAGTCATAATCACCAAGTGAGCATATTTTATCACCTGCAAATGGCATCTCTGTCGCTTCTTAAAAGTTGTCTACTACGCCGCGTTCGAAACTCGTGTTACGAAGGCGCTTTCGACCGAAATCTATCTGAATTTCAAAGTTGACGCTCTGGTCAGCGAACGGGACCGACAACCCGGGCAACAATACAAACAGAAACATTTTTCATGTTTCTCGTGATCGTTGAAAAAAGTCTGCAGCTGTGTATTTCCATCGGTATCGCGTGTATATCGATTATCGTTGGTGGCGTGCTTTCGTTCCTTCGAGTTGCAAAGCGCGCGATATTTATAGAAGAGGCCGACAGCGGCTTGCTTTCTCCGCACTCAACGAGAGATGATGTATTTCTGCTCGAACGACGCGCAACGGAGTCACAATTAAAGGATTTGCGTGTTCACGGCGACAACCTGTTTTATTCGCGGAGTAGAGCAGCTATTCTCATCGCGCCACGGCGATATAATTATTTTCATAATAATAGAGTTTCTTATTCAGCGCCGCGAGACGAATCATTTATTTAGACGCATTGCAAAAGTTGGTATATATATCTTGCACTACTCGCGTAAATTATAATAAGCAGACAAATATCCTCGCAATCGTCACGTCGGTTTCATTTCAGTTTAAAAGTTCCACAATCATTCTTATTTCACTGAACGCGCATACAATTGCAATAACCGCGACGGTTATATAGACGTCGTTTTAAGTTGTACTTTTGGGAAACTTGTTTCGAAATGCTTTCTGCCACTCAAGGGAGGCACCTACAGTCGCCACTTTTACCTCTTCCCACAGAGTACCTTAAACCTCATCTAGTCACGTCAGAGACAGACGAGACTCTTGTTTCGGTGTTCTGCGAGCAATTAACTTTCGAGTTGGCTAATTATTCGTGCTTACATCACGATTGTCTTCAACGATAAATATCAAAGTAAATAAAGAAGAAGTCGCGACAAATGTAATGCCATTTTAATTAAAATTCTCGAATTATTTGTACTAATAGTTTTTGTTTAAACTATTTCAACTTAGTTATTAATATTTATTTCGGATGTTCGTATAAAATATTGTGCGATTATTTTAAAAATTATTATTAGTATTTTTTTATCAATATCCGCATGTATCCCTACATCGAATAAGCGTAACCGTAATTATGTATTAATTAAACATAATTAATTCAGTGATATAACGAATTCTACTATTTTATAAAGCCTATAAAATAATAATATACATAGTTTATGTAGCAAATTAATTCATCAATTATCAATTACTTCCTTCATAATAAAATCGGTGAAATTTAAAAATAAAACTGTTGCAACAATAGAGTGTATTTTTGAACAAAAATCAATAAAAATAACGTGTTCCCGAAATTAAATTCTTAATCCTTATGTAATAAAATTCTATTATTCTAATCAATAAATGTTTTCTCACTGCTTAACGATTGTTGTAACTATTAAATATCTAAGATAAAATTAAAACACAATGTGATACTTGAAGCATATTGCGTAAGTCTCAGTGTTCTCGATATTTTCATAATTACGGTTTTGTGACACAACTACGTATTTTAGCGGTGAGGTCAGAAAATGAGTATTACCGCGTCTAGGAAAAGTCCTGGGAAAAGAGGATTTCTGTCATTGCAACGAACACGTCCCGTCGACACTTCGTCCTCCCTCCTTTCCCGCAGAGTGGCACCATCCGTACCTGGTCACGTCAGAGGCAAGTAACTCGACGTGCTTTTTATACTCTTTCTTTCGCAGGCGATTAACTTCGACTCGCCGAGAGGTGGCATCAGTCTGGTAACGGAAAAGGGACCCGTGACTTCGAGCCGTTTACTCATTCAGAAGGCGATCGAGAGGGACTCCGGCCTTTACACGTGCTCGCCCAATAACACTCATCCTAACAGCGTACGGGTCCACATAGTCAATGGTAAAGGAAAAATGCCAATTTCGCTTACGACGAAAGCTACGTGCAGGCATCTGAACGGTTTAGACTCGAGTGAGACATTCTTGAAATCCAAAGGAAACTCGCTAAAAGACCTATAAGTAATTTTGAACAAGCAAATACACTCGGACGTTTAGTAACAAATCGCGATGACTGATCTTTTTCATCGTATATCGTATATTTTGCAACAATGTAAAGCCGCGTTCTTTGAAAAAAGTAATGAAATTTATCACGGAAATATCATTTATAATTCAGTAGTCAATAACATATTGTGAGTACAAAAAAGTTTAATCAAAAATACTTTTCTTTGTGATTTTTATATTGTAGATAGTCAATCAACATTAAAAATTACACTACTAAGCATTTATATTATATGTCACGATACATAATTTAGTTCATTTATGATAAATAATTTGCAATTGCAATCGTCAATTATTCAAACGCAAGCCTTTGCACCATCAATTATTTGATTGCGGTATTGAATTATTCGAGAACATCTTCTAAAGTATTAAACCATTTCTTCGAGTGCACAGAAAGGAACGTCTCACCGAAAATGCTTAACTTGCAACTGATCGAATGGGGTGGCGACAACGGCGCCCAAAGCGAGAGCTCGTCCTCGAGCTCGCGAAGGCGTCGTCGCTCTAAATACTACCTGCTAAGAGCCGCCCGAGCGAAACGGCATTATAGCGTGGCGTTTGTTTCAGAAGAACACCCAGCGGCAATGCATCACGGCAGCGGCGACAGAATGGCCGCGACGTTGCTTCCGGTCGTCCTACTTCTTTGGATGATATTCTAGCCGACGCTCTGCACTCCGGGTTGAATGCGCGCGAACTTAAGCGCGGTCGTCTAACTACACTCTCGCGAGACCATCGAGCGGTGATTCTGTTTCGCGATTTTGTCTCCGGGGATTCAATTCGCCGCGACGCGCATTCGACGCGGCTGCCTCGCGAAAGTAACGGAATCTCATGAGTTTCCGTCGCGTTTCTCCCGTTTTACGTCGTTAGAACGTTAGGCTGATTGGGACGCATCCGAGTTACGACAAATCCGATTGTCACACCGTCGTCTCGAAGACATGAGCTAAGACGAATGTTAATGTAGAATGTTAATATATATAAAGAAAAATGAGGAATGTTAATATATAAAAAAATATATGGATGAATGATAGATTACTGATGACAACCAGTGAATATATATTTAGTTCTGTGCGATCAAATATAAAATAAAATCATATTTTTGAAAAATATAGACAAAAATTTAGTCAAATACCTAAGCACAAAATTAAATTAAATTTAATATATATATATTGAGAAAAATAATTGATTATAGAAAAAAAGTTCAATTGCTCTACAACATTTTTAATCGCTCATTCACTGGTTCTTCTGTTGTAATCAATAGACAAAAGTTGGTCTGCACTACTTTTTAAGTATTAAGACTTGCCGAAATTGGAACTCTCGCGATACTTTCAAGGTCGTTGTCCATTTTCCGAAAAAAGACAACGTCTGAAATCTTGCTCCACTACGAAAACAAGTACGAAGTCTTTTCTGTTCCGGTAAAGAGTCGCGAGTCTTCGTTTTCGCCGTCTGGAATCTTTACTCACGTTTCAAGAATAAAAGAGAATTCTACGAAGAAAGAGCGTTCTCGCAAAGGTGGAAGATAACCGTTCTAATATAATACATGACTCAAAAATGATTCAACAAACAATCCTGGAAATTCCTCATATTCGCAAACAAAGAATGCAACGGCAAGAACGCATTGTCACCGAATTTGCTTTGAGAGAAGACAATATTTTCTAATATTAAGAAAATTTCGGAGAAAGCATTTACGCGCATTGTGTTCGATGAACTAAACACTTTGAGAACTAAAAAATTAAAACAATTTTCAGAGTTAAACGAACAACCTTGCAGAGTTGCGTATTGATGATACGCAGAATTCATGGAAGCATCAAGTGGAAAAAAAACATGCACTGTCGCACAGTATATATCAGAGAAGTCTCATTTATAGTAAAATTAACCGCCGTGTCTACCGTTTCCATTAAAAAGCCTCGAACACGAACGCCGCGTATCCGTTATTGCAGTCACTCAATTATTAAATGCGCTCGGTAGACCGAGCGATCGCTCCTGCTCGTTGCGATTGTCAACAATGTCTCGACTGCAACTACTCTCGAGTACATATTCCGTAATCTTGTTATTGGTTTATTGATTGTCGCGCACGTGAAACGAGTACTGGAGGCTTCTATAAAACTAGAATTTTATTAATTACAAAACACACACACGAAGAAGCTATTACGGATATCAAGGTAATGCTTTAATGATAAAATTTCGCTCAATAAAATGTGAAAACTTTCATAGGTGAATACGGATTATTTTAACAAGAATAAACATTTAAAGAAATTATATAAATTTTTACTCGTGTAAATATCAGAATGTAAAAGGTTGAATTGCTACGTTCATTTGCTTCAATATTCCTTAAAAATTTCTGAAAAATTCATTAAAAATAATATCAAGATTTTAGATTGATCATAATTTTGTGATATTGAATGTTACTGCGAGAAATTGTGTTAAAACATTGTAACTTTAGAAGATTGGAAAACAAATCTCGGATAATATAAATACGAGGGAGAACGATCCGGTAAATAGACGGTACGCGCGCCTTGTACATATCAGACGATAAAACTCGCTCAACTTCGGAAGTAAGGATAGACGCGCTGACGGCCTGCGGAACGTATAGAATCTCAAACTTGGAAATTTGCGCGCGGCGAAAGGATGGCTTTCATGCAAGGTACGTAAATATAACGCGGTTTTTTTCCGGGCTCGCGATGGTGCAACGTTCCCACGGAAAGAGGGGAGGCAAGGTTTATTCGCCGAACTTATAATGGCCCGACTTCGAGGCGGATTTTATCCTCGTTACAGTCCGCCAGTAAAAACGCATTGTTCGAAAGTGCATTAGCTCTTGGGGATTCGAACACGATGCGCCGGGACGATCCCGAGACTGTTTCGTTTTATCGCCGTAAAGGGGCATGCATTGTGTCTCTGAGCTTGGCAGTATTGTTGTGCCGGAAGTGTACCTCGCTTCTTCAGGACCATTCACGAGAACGTTATAATGGTTTCGATATCCCCAGTGATGTCCTAGCCGCCATTAGCGTTCGTGACCGAATTTTCTTTTGTCAACGGGACCATGTAATCGGAGCGCGTCCGATCGCCGATATAATTGGCGTTAACAATCGGCGCCGGCGTGCACAAACAAACGGTCCTATATAGTTGCTGTATATATACTGTGTTAGAAGCGTAATCGTAAGAATACTTCAGTGCCAGTCTTTCACCTAGCTTGTAATGACGCCGAAATTCATTGTATTTCGAGGATTTCACGTATGATGCATACACGGAATGCGTTTTTTATAGAAGCCGATATATGTGCGCGCCTAAGAGGCAAGGAAAATTGAATATCGAACAAAAATATAGATTAAGTGTTACTCAGCGTTTTCCCCGATCAAAACCTTTTTCATAAGTCTGTACATTTTCGCCGAATTAGCGTTGCGGATCGCGTCAGAGAATTTTATTTCGCCATTGTACGCATTTAATAAAAGAATGAAAAAAAAGCTGACTCGATAGCGAATGACGGATTGTAAATAAACGACCTACGTTACCTATTCTTGATTAAGTGTATTCTCATGCCGCTTGGCAATTGCGAATTTTCGTAATATTACCGCGATCTTTCTTTGCTCTTGGTTACCGCTAACGTCGCGTTTTCAGAGAGCAATTTTAATTAATACTCGAGTCAACGGACGCTAATTACCTTCCTTTATGGCGCGAAGATTCTTTCACGCGTTCCTTTTCGCTGCTTTGTAACTCGAGCCGGTCACTCAGCTCGTTAAATTTCACTTGTCGCGACTTCAACTTGGACCACAACACCTCTTTGACTTTTTAAACACAAGGGGTTTGTATTCTACGTGTATATCTCTGTACTTGCAAATGCATATGATTTCTTATTGTAGTGATTTCTATTGTAGTAATTTTGAAACGAAACTTGAAGCGAAAAAATATATCGTTCAACGAAAATTATTAATAAAGCATAAATCAGAAAAAAAATAATTCTCATAAAATAAGCTCAACAGCATGACGGAAGATCAGCGGCCAGTAAAAGCGTAAGTACCTCTAAGCACTTCTCTAATATCCTCACACATTCATGCGACACATAAATACAGTCACAGTATTCGATAATCGATGTAAAGTTCAGTGCTGTGTAATTATTTCCATTATTATTATCTTCATATAGCATATAAAGCGCAGTTAGGAGGAAACTTTCCGTTGCCAGGCAATAATTTCCATCGCAAATGTAATTATTACGCTGTCGAGTATTATATACGCGGCGCAGTTCATTATATAGAAATTAATAAATTTAATGACAGTTCCAGCGTGCATCATATCGCGATGTTGCCAGTGGTGATGCATTAGTACAGTAGCTATAGGCACGCATTCAATCGGAAAGTCGATAGTCGATAGACTATTACATGACACCGTGATCATACGTTTCCATTTCACGATCGCTGGATAATGCAATTTTTTTTTATTTTATCTCTGCAATGCAATGTACATTTTTTATAATTAAACTAAATTTCAATAGTAATAAGAATATCGCAACGACGGTTCACAAATCGGATCCGATGAGTATGAAAGCAACAAATACAAAATCAATACCAGCCGATTAACAAAAATCAACAGATGCGTATCTATTTGTCCGTGAAATATTCCAATTCTAAATAATTTTTTATTCTTTCTAAATAACACTGATTTTATCAACTGAAGCATATAATCCAATATTAAAGTTCATAAAATAGTTATAAAATTAAGCACAAAAAAAAAAGAATTAGCGATAAAGTGAAAAATTAAAAATAAAATTCATAAATTATATTTTCTTTTAATGAATCCATCCGGAAAGACTTTTCATAGCAAATAATTTTTTTCCACCGCGATACAGCAATGCGATCTTCCGCGATTGTTTCGATGAGTTAACATAGGTTCGATTAGCGGTGCATCATCAGCGGAACGTATATGAATCTGGCATAGATTCTCGTGCAAACAGCACGGTAATTCCGTCAGTTAGTACTTGGTTAATACAATAGGTCAATCATCGGACGAGCTGGCATGTGTGTCGAAATTCCTATATCTATACACGTAACTGATGTCGACGGTCAATAGCTACGCGACGGCCGCGCGCGTATGCGTCGTACGGCATTGTTAGAAGTAATCACGTATATCGCATTGTCATAAGTATTCGTACGAGCGAGCAGACCATAATGCATCAACCAGGATATGAAGAGGGTTGTTGAAATTGTACCGCTCCAATTAGTATCTAAAGCGGCAGATAACTTGCGCCCCCGTTTCACCAACATCGAGCATTCTGTGCGTAACAGCTTTCGGCGGAACAACGTTTCGGAGGTCTCTCAGTTGTTCTACTTCGTGTTATTTCGACGAACTCATCCGCAGATAATGATAAGCAAATGTTTGTCTCGGAGTTAGCAGCGGCGCCTAATCCGGACCGCGAAGACCGAGGCAAACGCCGAAGGGAAAGTCGATATAAATGTAAATAATGTGCAAAACGCGGTTGACAAACAATTAGTGACCCCGTCGGTTTGCATATTCATTATGCATTTTACCTCGGCTACTATGTGCAGCAAAATGTACCTTAAACCAAATGTATGGTGGATACAGCAACATTGCACTAAAGCAATTACAGAAGGAACACGTTCCTCCTTTCGTGTTAACATAGAAATGTATTTTTGCTAAAAGTTTCGTAAATTTTTTTTATTTCTGAGAAAATCGAACAGATGACATAAAAAGTACTTTGTCAGAATCTATTGTTGACTGTCGTAAATCCGAGAATTAATAATTGAATAAAAAGAAATCTTCGCAAATAAAATGTAATTTTTAAAAATAGATTTCTTGGTATTTATCTTATCACTAAAAAACATTAATAAAAAAATGAAATTATAATATCAAATACTAAGTTAATAAAACTGAAAAGCGCGTCGTGCAGTAACTTAATATGGACGCATGTAAACTATGTTTAATTATCTAACTTACTTATATGGAAAATCAAATCCGATTTACCGACCAACGAAGGTAATGAACAGACTTTGATAAGTACTTATATGTTAAATAATTCAATCTCTGCTCTGTCGTTTGGTCCAATGCGTTTCATAATGAAACCAATCTTAATCGATGAGATTGATGCTTTTGGCAATTATTAGCGAAGCATACCACACACTTACTGTGTGTTGAGGCACACGTTGAACATCGAAATCAGTATTAACAATCTTCCTTCGTTCGCCAGTGTGCACGGCGTCAGAGTATTTCATCTCGCCGCAAACTCCGCGAACAAAGCACACGGACGAAATTTCATTTAACTGCGAAATTAGGCACCGCGGTTGAATTACTTTTCGGACGGAAAGCACTCGTGTATGGTAGTTTGTTAAAACTATGGACGGTCCTTTGACGCCATACTCAGACGATGCAATCAGGGTTGATGAAACATTAGAGTCGCTTAGAAACGATCCGGGGAGAAAATGTAGCAAGCACGGCTTTTTCTAACAAGACTTTGAGATGGCGGAATTAGTGAAGCGTATACTTCGCACGAAATATATACGATATTTTTCACGGAAACGACCTACATTTTTCTTTTCTTTTTCTTCCTTTTTTCGAAATCTTATATCCCGCTTTACGTACTTGTGGAGGTTTCGACAGCGCGTGTCAAAGTTGAATAATATGGATTTATGCGAAATAAATTATGATAATCCTGACTAAAATTACATATTTCATACTCTCGTCGGCGACACGAAAAACACTCTGAAGTGTGATTAGCATAGAGAAAGGGCTTGCCTTACGTTCGTCGTTTCACGGAGTAACTTTTACCGTCGGACACGGTGGATTTGTAAAGCTGAATTTAATTTGAAAAGCAGATTTATGTGCCACGCCATGCTCTTCTTACGCCAAAACTGTTCCTCGTTTCTTAATTACGTCTCCAGATCTGCTCTTGCCGTTTTACGATTCGCATTTATCACGAGCCTCGTAAGATTCCGAGTGAAAATATACTGCCGAGAAACAAGAGTAGGGCGGAAAAGGGAAGAAAGAGGGAGCGGACGAACTGCGCCGCCGTTCGTTAAGACGTTTAATTTTATATGGCTCTTGCGAGGAGCCGTTGCGGTACTCTACGTTATTTATTTTCTCACAAGACACACTATGTTGTAGCGATCAAGCGCGGTGAAAGCTTTAAACACGGTTTCCGAGCAAGCTTCGATTAATGCTTAATTACGGTGAAATAGGTCTCAATCGTATCATTCTCGAGTATTCCTTTTTTTTCTATTTTAGCGTTGAAGAATAAAAGACTCGAATAATTCTGTTTTAAAGTAATACAAATTAACGGTAAAACATACAAAAAGTAAATTTTTTTACTTTTTTTTATGATTATAATTAGATAAAGAAATACTTTCGCTAATCATAAAGAAAATGTCACTTTGTACGCAGCATGAAACATCAATAATACATCTCCGTTAAAGTAGATTTGCAACCGTGGTGAATTGCGGTCGCGGCGTTGTGGCGATTAGCCAGCAAGTTGTCAACGGAAACAAATATCCGGCGCAACCTGTCGAAGCTTGGACGGTATTAAATTAACATTAAATTAATATTAACAGCAACAGCGGCGCGCACAACACCGGGACTTGTTTCAACTAGCCGAGACCTCAAGAGGATACATTAAATACCCATTACAAGCTGTACATTAACCAGTATCCTAGCGCCGAATCTTCGGTGACGCCCGCGGCGATCTGAACGTGGTTTAATTACTGCGCCGTCAGCGAGTGCTGAGAAGAAAGGATTGCACTAATCGACGATTCCGTCGGAACGGAAGAGCTAGACGGCATTCTCTTAACGCAGCGAGATAAATCTGCTCGCTGGATGACCCTTCAGGGAACGACTTCCCGTTGTGCTCCTTGCCTTCGGAAAGCGTCATTACGCGTTCTCGCGACAGTAACAACGGAAGACTTTTTATTCGAACAGCTGTCGTCGATGAAGGAAGAAAAATGAACGACTAATCTCCACCGGAAGGTCGGTGGTAATAAATATCGTCATTCGTATGGAATATTTCATCCTGTTATATTTGTCCCTACCGTCCTTCAGTTGGAAGAATCTCATTCTTGATACGTTGCGCAGAAATGGTCATCAAGCCTGATGTCTTCTCCGTAATCCACTTAACTTTGAACCATCGTACTGCAGTCGTAGAAAAGACGCAGTCTCATAGGAACGACGATGCATCACGCTTCTTCGTTAGTCTTTCTTCCTTTCTTTTCCGCAGTCACGACCTACTTGTTCCGCCGTTTGTTGATGGATACTGCAGCGCTGGTCTTCCTTCCGTTGCATCTTATTTTCCATGTAATGGTAATGCAATTTTCTTTTTTCTCCTCGCCGTGAACACGCGTAGAATGAAAAGTGGTCGCGACGCGTGTGATTTAATGGTATACAAGCGCGTTCTCGGTGAGTAAAGAACGTAAAAATTAAATGCATGAAAGATATGGAGAAAGGAGGAGAGTGGTTTTGATAGCATATAAAAATAAACCCCGCATTACACGCGTGCACACGTGCCCGCGGATTAACAATAAAATCTCGGCTGTCGGTTTTCACTGTCGCGCGAGCGACGCTGCGCGACGGGCGAATTGAAAGAAAAATTAAATTGAAATATTCATTAATATCAACGTGCATTCGTTTTTACCACACTTCCGAATAAATTATCAAACGCGCACGCACGGCAAAGCAATTAAAATGTGAACAACTTATTATAACATAGAATATTTTTGCATGAGCAATAATAAATCATTTATATACATATATTTGTCGTTCATATCAATTTTCTTTATAATTGCTTTTATGAATACACGCTTCTCTAACCTGTACTAACTGTAAACATCACCTATTATTAAATATATTTTCATGTTATAACGCAATTTATTTCCCCAATAT